AAAAAAACACAATTACTTTTTGGCCAACCAAATAATTTCTAATTATCAGAATCGGTAAACTTTACAAATTCAAACAAATAAAAGATAGTACAGAAGAGAAAAATGAAAGAAAGTGCAGAAAGAAATTTACTTTTTCTTTGCTTCAACTTGCTGTTTTAAAAAAGGTCGTGTAAATCTTGCGACACTTTAGTATAACTCCTTTTTTTAAAAATAATCTTGACAATTAGGCATCAGATTACACAATGAATTTACTTAAAATGAAGTTTATTACGTTTTTAGATTTTTTATATCTTAAAATGTATGTGTGTGTGTGTTCATCTGTTAGAAAAAAACGCAATTATTTTTTGGTCAACCAAATAACTTCTAGTTATCAGACTCGGTAAACTTTACAAATTCAAACAAATGAAAGATAGTACAGAAGAGAAAAATAAAAAAAAGTGCAGGAAGAAATTTACTTTTTCTTTGCTTCAACTTGCTGTTTTAAAAAAGGGTCGTGTAAATCTTGCGACACCTTACTATAACTCATCCCTTTCATCCACCAGCATTTATGTACCGTACTTATCCTCTGAATCTATCTTTTATTCTATTTGAAATTTCTATCCTTTCGCACCTGTTTCCGTAACTTCACGTTTATCTTACTATCTCTCAGTACCATAGTACTGTCCTTGATTTTCAGATAGTTTCAACGTTCTTCTCTTTCTTTTTTTCTCTACTTTTCGCGGAAGAGGAAGATTCGAGTGAAAAAATAAATTCAACCAACAACACGGACATTTTTAAACTTTGAAATTTGAGAATCTGAAGGACTGAGATCCACCGAATTCTATAACCAACTCGGTTAACCAACGATTAAAAGTTGAAATTATAAAACGAACCTTCGTAATACGTAAAATCCAGTCAGTCTGTTTCCCGGAGAGGATCTCCAATGAGCAACGCGATTAAACCAGTAAACCTCTACCCTCGAATAAGCCATTTTTTCTTTTTTTTCCTTCTTTTTGTTTTGTTTCGAGAATTCGCGCAAGAAGGCCGGTATCTAGGGAGGTTCTAAATTTCGCGGCTATAGTTTCGAGGGGTGGCATCGGCCGGGAAGATAGGAGAGATTTAATTAAGTTCGATCGAGCCGGCTGGCGTTGAAACGGAACAGAGCTGGCCGGCGCGTTCCCATCCGGGCCAGGATCCCACGATTTCTACAAGAAGTTTCAATATATCGGCCGAGATGATAAGGCTTTAGTGGGCTGTAAATCATCTCGTATCTAAGTGGCCGCGAAGCCGAGGGATTCTCGAGGAGGAATGGCCGGTTGTTCCGGCTCGGCCGACGGCATTAATGAATTTCCATAATGGCGCGATAACAGTGTACACAGTGGGCCATTAATACGCACTCGCGCGATCTTTACGGGCGTTTCACGCTTCTCGTAAACCTCGTTCGCTCGCGCGCGCAATTTGCCCCTGCTCCCTCTTTCTTCGCTGTACTCGACCTTGTTACTCGACTTCTTTCACACACTGTTTCAGTCATTTCCGGCTACGGCGACATTTCACACCGACGCTTCTTTGCGACAAAAAGTTACGCTATTAATAAATGCGCGACATAGACGTGTAAGGGAGGATTTTCATTTCTTTCACGCTGTTGCAGAGATTCGTTTAGAGATTCAATGTACAAAGTACGAATATGAGTAAAGTACAAATTCTTCATTACACTCAAATTACGTAGAATTGTAACGGCGAATTTATAGTAAACCGAAACTGTCGCAATCCCAAAAGAAAAAATTGTACAAGTGACAGGACTTTACGTTTGAAAATTCATTCGAAATCTACGAGCTATTATCGTAGTACTATTTTTTTCTTTTTCTTGCGCGTAATGAATATTTGAAAGAAGAATCCTTTCACGGGGGAATAAATCAGTATTCACGATGGAAGCGGTTAAAAGCGTAGAGTCCCAAGGAATCGGATTACGAGAAGGCGAGGGAAAACGGCGAGGGACTTCCACTCGGTTGCCCGTGAATAGTTTCCAATGGCCAGGGCCTTAAAGTCCTTTTCTCGAGGCTCGATGAAAAAACAACAAAGCGACTGGGGCGTTCACAATGGCCAGGCCTCGGGCCCCGTTTCTCTATTTGCGTTTACAATGAAGAACAGACGACCCGCGGGATTCGTTCTCATGCGCGGGTGACCGAGAACTCCACGTCTCGCCTCATTTCAGGAAAATTTACCAAATTTTATACTTTGTTTAAAATTTATCCCACTGGATGCACCCCTGCAATGTCGAGGATCCTTTTTTCTCTAATTTCTAACGCTTCTTAGTGTTGACCGAGAAATACCAAGTTTATGTACAGTTAATAACCGGACATTAATAATTTAAACTGCTACAAATTTGTAAAAAAAAGGTCGTAAAACAATAAATCTCTAGTTCCTTTTCGAAGTCTGAAATTTCTACTTTCAGAATACACCATTCAATTTATTCTAAGGACACTTTTCTTCTCGAAAATGGTATAAATTGTCATACTGTGTAAAAGTAAAAAATAATTAAAAAAATGTTTTCACAGTTAAATCTACGATTAAAGCTTCCTAAAACTTGACGTACACTTTTTCTTCGCCACTTTGAATATTGGACAAAACCGATGAAAATATCGGGATTTTTTTAATTCTCGTCATCCAAGCTTAATATTCGAAATTCATACAAAACTAAAATTCAAAATGAATAAAATTCGTACATCAAGTTTTAGAAGGTCATTGTAAAGAAGAGAGTTTCAATCTTTAAATCCATTGTAGATTCAGTCATGAAACAATTGTTTCAATATTTTCACATTCTGTGGCAATTCATATCATTTTCGAGAAGAAAAGTATCTTCATTTTCTCACCTGTTGCGTGATATAGAAACACCTTGGAATAAAACGAATCAAACTTCGTTTCGAAAAAATCCAGGTCTGCACGACTTTCTTTGTAACAATTTGAATATTTAATGTCCGATTTTGGAAGTGTCTGAACTGCAGTTTGCTAAGGTTTGAGAAAAGAAAGAAAATTATAAAAAATGATAATGACAAAACTGTACGTTAGACAAAATTGTACGCTAGACCCATTAAGAAACAAAAGGAGAATAAATCGCAACGATACGTCGTTGTTCGACACTATTAGGGTTAACAACGAAGCGCGATTCACGTCTAAATCTCGATGACTGAATCTGTCAAAATTCAATCCTCGTTAAAATTGAATAACTCAGTTCCTCTGTCGAAGCTGAGGCAGAAACTTCGCGAGATTGAAAATCCACAGCAATCCACGTTCATCCTCGCGTGTTGCTTACGTAACCGGTTCGAAACGGCGAGAGGAACGTTTTCTTTAAATCAATTTGAACGCACTAGGCACCTCGTGAAGCCCACGCGTTCGACCAGTTCGACGGTTTCTCTTTCTCTTGGTCGTTCTAATTGAGACCGGCGGCAGGTAACGATAGAAGAAAGAAACCTGCTGCGAGATGCGCAAGAATGAAGAGGTAAACGGGACGAAAATGGGCAAACAAGGAGCGCGCGTTTTAGTTCGACGCTCGTTGCCAACGATGACTAGCAAATACGGGATGTATCTGCCCCGTCCTGTGGGTAGATCTGTCTAGGGAGGATAGTCACCGGACAAACGAGCGCCACGGATACCACGAACAATCATTATTGCGACGACGAGCGCGATGACGACGGAGAACGACCGAGTCTCGAACTGGCGAGGGACGAGAGATCACGCAATCGAGCTCGGAACGTGTTCCCTCGGACTGTAATTGACACCTAAAATTTGTTTTCGATTGATAAACACAGAGATTGAAGTTGAGACCAAGTTTGATCACTTGATTACTAAGTACAAAAATCGTGCATCGAGTATAACGGGTCTAGCTGCAATTCATTTTATTCATCTATTCGGTCATCGTGTTTTATTTCTTAAAAGAGAAATAAAATTTCTGAAAAATTAAATTTCTAAAATTTCCACAAAATAGAATTTCTTTGCGAGAGTAGAATCGTTTCTACATATCGTGAAATATCAAGGAACTGAAGGCACGATATTTTTTGCTTTCGAATTTGAACGATTACTTTGGCCATTAATCATCAGCAAGATCTCTGAAATTTATAAGTCGAACTTCGACGACAACATATGTAAATCTTCGAGTTTTTCGATTCGGTTCGGCGCGCTCGACGACAAGACCGAGGGAACAAAAATGAGGAAACAGGGCTCATTCGCGAAAATGGGAGACGAAATCCACCCACAGGTCAGAGAGGGTGGGATCGTTTGCTTTCATTTAGCGCGGCGTCGATGTTTTCCCGGCCGTGCGCAAATACTCATATCTAACATTTATCAAGCGACACGGCCCGGTTCTAGTCTCGTCAAGATCCATTTGCGCCCCAGGATGCACAGGAGCATTACCGTGTCGTGATGTCAAATACTAACGGCGGAGAAGCGAGTGGTGTCATTACCGGACCTCATAGCAGGCCGTCGCATCTCGCTACCCCCATCCCCGGCCGTGTCCGGCCACCCCCGTGGCCGTATTTCTCCGTTGCGGAACACAGAGCAGCGAACACCGACGCAAACAGGTTGATAGATCTTGATGGAGCACCAAGGCACTCGGCCACCGGCTCTATGCTAAATACTGTCGTCGCAATTAGACGTGCAATTCAATTATAACGGGAAACAAATGCGCGGATGGCTTTGAATACACGTGGCGAGCATTGCAGCACGTTCTTTTGGAAATTCTGCGTGGATTTGCGACGGGCAAATAAGTCGACAACACGTTCGCGATCGAAGTTTCTTACAAAATCTTCACGCACGACCACTGCCAGAATTAAAGATTCTTTGAGAATTGTCGAATCTCCTACAGATTTCTGACAGTTTCTGACTAATAAGAATGCATTAAAATTTGCGACGAACGTGTCAAGGAGACACGTGCAGAGAGAACCACCGTACGGCGGACAGCCGTATGTATGTATTCATGAAATTTCACGGTGTTGTTGCGTTTGAAATATGAATGAACGAGGACTTACCGAGTCGGGAGGCTCAGTCGATTCGACACTCGCGAATCCCGTGATCCCTTATTTCCCAGCCATCTAAGTCACGTGCAGCAGCCGAAAAATTCGCCCGTGCTTGCATATGGGGGATAAGAAAGGTAGATTCAGGACCTGAAGAGAATAGAACAGAACCTGCATGAGGACACGTCCCGCGAACGTTGTTCCCTATACTACTACGTTTAACGTGATTAACATATCCCTACTACTTAATCGAGGACAATTATCTCCAAGATTTTAGCCAACCACTTTGCAAATCCCCACGGGTGGCCCTGAAAATTCTCAGCCTTCAACATGCATCCGTAAGGTGCATACTGCTAACCGAGCGTTAATTCGCGTAACGTGAATGTACTACACGACTCTCTGGATAATACACGCGTAAGAGCGTGGCCGCGAGGATCGTGATTGGCGTGATTGGGGATCGCTTAGGGGCGAAAGCGAATGACGAGTGAAAGATGGAAAAAGAAAGCGTGGAAAACGTGGAGGTAGAGAGAGAGAGAGAGACAGAGAGGGATAGAAAAAAGAAAGGCAGGAAAAAAAAGGCAAGGAGAGAGCGTCTGAGAAGCAGGAGGAGGAGGATGAGAAAGTGAAGAAGAAGAAGAGGAAGGAGGAGGAGGAGGAGGTGGAGGAAGACGGCTGGCATCGAGGGGTAGGGGCTAAGACGTTGTCCTGCCAACAGGTGGTAGCAACCTCATACTACCCAGCGCTGCTGCTTCAGCACGGCAGCTCAACCCCTTTTTCACCCTCCGTGGCAGCAACCACGACGATAACCCGCGGCGACACCCGATAAAACGGGCCGTAGAGAGGGTTGGAGGTCTTCTACGATGCCGGGATAAGTGGGTCGTGGCCGGGGAACGGAAAAGAAAAACACCGGAGGGATTATCGGTCGTGGATACACTGCCACCCTCTCCTCTCCTCTCCTCTCCTCTTCTCTGCTATCTCGCTCACGCCACGCCACGCCACGCCGTGCCGTACCGTACCGTACCGTGCCATGCCATGCCACGGCGCGGCGCCCCTTTAACGAAAGAAACTTGCTCTTTGCCGGCAGCAGCACGTGCACTTGCTTCGAGACGACGCGACGCTCTGCTTACGATTCTCGGCCAAGACTCTCTCTCTCTCTCTCTCTCCCTCTTTCTTTCTCATTCTTTCTTTTATTTTCTTTGTCTCTCTCTTTCTCTTTCTCGACGACATGCTTCCACGAGCGGGACGCTCGAGTGGCTTGTATTTTACGAGCCGGGGATTTTGCGGTCTCTCGGGGGAAAAGACAACCCCCTCTCAGTGTTCCTTCTTGTCTCATGCGCCCCATGCCGTCCTGTTGGCAGTCACCGCGTAAGTCACGTCGCGACGCTCGGCCAAGGGGAATTACCGGGGCAAAGGCTCGACCAGCTGGAAACGCCAGCGTCGCGATCATTCTTCCCGCGGTCCAGCTGATTTCCCGATTCTCTTGCGGTTTTCGATCTCCTCCCTTGGCGACGTTGTTTTACTCCGCTTGCTTAACCCTTTCGCTATTCAGATTCAACAACATCTCTTCGCGAAGTGACGACGCCTCGCGCAAAAGAAAATGAGGAATTTCAAAAATTCCTCTCTCGCGAAAAGGAGACTCGCAGACGGAATTCGTTTTTCCGCGGCTGTCGAGCTTCCCTCGGTCGTGGTAATTTTAACGAAGACGCCGTCACGGGGGAGGGGGACGATCCAATGCAAAAGATTCGGTCGTCTCAAAGGAAAATCTTAACGAGCAGGAACAATGAACCCATGTGAATTATTGCACGGCACAAAGCGGCCGTGTTTTCGCCGTTTAATAAAACGCGGAATGAATTAAACGAACGGCCTCTCCCTTCCACCCTTCCCACCCTACGGCTTTTTTTAATAACGAGACACTCCCCTGGTGTCCTTTTGTTTCACTCAAGGCGCTCCCTTCTGTGTCGTTATTCAACCAATTATCTGACACTGATAACGAGATCGCTCTAAACATACCCAGTCTCGATTATCGATCGACTGTCCGTCCCGTTTATCAACATCTAGTCTCTGTCTAGTGAAGTCTCGCTTCGAGAACGAACGTCTCCGCACTCCGGATTCATACATTGAATCTATTTTTGGTCAAAGCGTTGATTAGTAATTTCAAGTTTTGATAGACACATATTCCCCATTTTTCGATACAAATTGCTCTTTTAATTCTTATATACTTTTCATTATGTCAGACAGCTGGATTAACGTGTTTTATATGGCAAAACTAGGTTTGATAATAATAACCAGAATTTGTCACACGGCTAACAATTACTTTGATCGGACAGATTTCTTTAGAAATATTATTCCAGCTACAAATATTGTATCTCCGATGTTGCCTGAATTTCTCTCGCTGCTTCTAAATTTCTCGTCAACCTTTTTCTGATTGTATTTCACTTACTATTTTGCTAACCGTGACGTAATTTTATTTTTTTAATTGCTATTATTGAAATAATTAAAAGCGTGATTATTCGTTTTCTTTGGGTTGATCAGTATATTACTTTCATAATTCATATTAATTAATAATTCATAATTCATATTAATTGCTATTAACCCTTTCACCTATAACATCCAGTGAGACTCGTGATAAGAAATTTGAATCAAACATAGGAATTGAGTGGTGAGTTTATCTAAACATAAGAAACACGAGTCAGGTATTCGTGATTTATAATGCAAATTCATTATTGCATTAATTTTGGCCACATTCAGACGTGCAAACATATTGTCTCAAAGTATTAACTCTCTGCCGGTTTTTCAAAAAGTTAATAATTTAAAATGAGCATTTATTTACAAATTGGAATAAGGTATTACAGGCACATTATCTACTTCCAGATCATAAATCATTTTTGTTCACTGACGAATTGATATCTCTCGTGAAAGACTCTGACGCGTAAGCTATTTTATTTTGATACGTTTAAATTTAATTTGAAATATTGATCTTAAACAATACGTTTGTTTTGAAACAAACTATTTGAGTTCTCGATAAAATTTAATACTTCAAAATTGTTTTAATATGACCTCAGAAATCTTACAAAATTAAACAGTTGTTCCTGACATTTGTATGAACGTACTATGTGTCATAATTGAACAAATTCAAGCTACGTGGGTCAACACGCGAGCGATTTTTGTAACTGAGCATGGCACGTGCCATCATGACTTAAATCATAGTGCAATGGGTTAATACCGGCACTATGTTACAGTTTGTCTATACTATCCTATTTTATTCTACTTTAATAATTTCATTTTTACTTGTTAATCTCTTCTGTCGTCTTTATTATTGGTCCATTATTTGTATCATCGTAACTACAGTAACAACAGGGATTTGTCCCATCGATGAAAATCAAATAAAATTTCATTTTGATCCGTTTGCCGCATCGTCACAAGTTCTTCAAAGAATCGGCCGAAACGTTCCTCGAAACATCCCGAACGAGGAACACCATATCGGATCGTCACAATGCGAGGGAATCGCGTGGAAAGTATCGTTCGTTCACGTGTACGATACAATTTCTCGCGATTTCACGGCGTCGAGGGGAACAGTTTTGCGCCGGGCACGATATAACCGGGCGCTTTGGCCAACATCGATGTAACAAATTCTTATTACCCGGGAGAATCGTAGCGTTCGTGGAAAGAAGGTGGGAGAGAGGAGGAGGAGGAGGCCTTACAGACCTCGTTTCATGCGGCCGCACGGCCGCAATGGAACCCTTTGTGAGCCTGGGGGCCCAACAAACGGGCCTTTGTCCTCCCTTGAAAAAGAAGGGTGCGGCGAGGGGAGAGGGGCCACAGGCTGTAGAATGGAAAACGCTTGGTCGAACAAATCGAATCTATCGTTCGCGTTGTTTAGTTTTGCGATCTGAAAGGTAGCCCTGTTCTCGCCGCGGATTTTGTTGGTTCAGTTGTTCACGATCGTGTTTTTTCCAAACATGATCGCGCCTTACGTTTCATCTCTCTGGATGTGTTTGTGTCTCCGTTTTTTTTACTTCCCTCTCGCATTATAGACTCGATCGTTGCAAATTGAAGAGAAAAGTAAATTCTTCAGTTCCGATGTCACGTGTATAATTACATCAGGTCGTATGCATCGCATAGATTGATGTTCATTCAACATTTAAGCGTTGATTTGTTCGGCTGCTGTTCTTCAATTGGAGATTGCTTCGGTACGTTTGGAAAGTTTGTTATATTCTGTATTTCAGGAAATATCCAGATGTTTTCTTATTTTTAACGTTTCTAAATGAGCTTCTCTCCACATGTATATTCAATGTATTCAATTGTAAATTGACCAGACATTTGTCTTTCCTTGTAGGAATTCTTGTCTCCATTTGTTCAATCCAACAGATTTTCCAGAAGTTTGACATCATTCTTTTCAGAAAATGGTCAGAGACACAGCCTCTATGACTCACAGTGGAAGAAGAGTTTATCGTTTCTAAACACCAAGAAAGGGTATTTTTTTTTTTTTTTTTTTTTTTCGTTAGAAGAAAAAATTCTGTGGATGCGAATGGTACCTCGACCAAGGTCGAAAATAATCTTCAAAAATGCCCAACATCAAATTTCGTACGATGCTAAACTTAAAAGTAAACTGAAATTTTCTTACAACAGTACAATTATGAACCGTGAAAGCCTCGCAGAAGAGTCACTTTCGAGCGATGAAAGAATCGCGAGGACGATGGAGGGGGAGGAAATCGCGGGGAATTCAGCGTGGCAAGGACGATAAAACTCGCCGATAGATTTCGCGGGGGCCAGACAAGGATTCTCGTTCTTCTCAGGCGGTTTTACGTGCGTGGAATGACGCGGGCGAACGTGAGCGCCGCTCGGGCTTTCGAGCCGGGTCGAGTTCAAGGGTTTTGAGGTGAAAACGGGACCGTGATTCCAGGCAGAAACTGGATCGACGGGTTCCCTCCTCGACTTGACGAAACCCTCGACCTACGACCTCCGGCTCGTGCGAGAGGTCGAGATGAAGTTGCAGGATCATATATCGTCGGTTCACTTGCAGCAGATCGACCCCTCCCCCTCCCCTCGCCTCTCGATCGCCCATACCATCGTACGTCTCTTTCTCCCCGTTTATGTTTATCGATCCTCTGGACGATGCGGAGAGAGCAGGCAAATTTCGTGAAATTCGG